ATTAAAGCATCTGAATATTGTAATATTTGTATTTGGTTTTTTAAATTTAGTTGTTTGATTTTACTATAAGGAAGATCAACAAATTCATTAACGATAAACATTCCAAAAATAGGTATTTTATATTCTGATAGTTTTTTATCAAATTTTAAAATATCTTCTTTCATTGCATCATAATAATAATTGTGTAAACAAGATTTATTGTTTTTATTTTTACAAATTGTGCATAGATTTCGAAATTTTGCTTGAATGTATAATGGGTATCCATTCCATTCATATGAGATATCGATACCGTCATTGCCAATAATATTAAAATTTCCTATTCTATAAAAATCTATATTTTCAATAGTTCCATCTTTTGTGATTTTAGATTATCACTATACATTATTTGTATTTTACCAAATCGAAGAGATAATTTTTCATTTTGTTCGTATATAGATTTATGTAATAATTTTCCACCGTTGAATTGGTAAAATGTGAATTTTTTCGGATGTAATTTATGTTTTTTCAGATAAAGAAATAATTTATTTTCAAAATTTTCTCCAGAAATTACACTAAAATGTTCAACATTGTATTCAAATAATAAAGTTTGTAGTTTTTCTAATCGATTCATTTTATTTTAATTGATAAAATATGTTGTATGTTTTATGATTGAATTAATAATATTAATATAAATAAATTAAATTTTGTTGATTAATTTGATGATGGAAATAAAAATAAAAATTTACTTGATATTTTTATTGATCATTTTATATCTTGTGAGTGATGTTAAACAGAGATATATTTGTCAATGTTGTGGTGGTAATCATGCAGCATCAAGTTGTGCAAGACCATGTGTTCATCCGATGATTATTCGAGAGTTAATTTTACGTGTGAATTTGGATCAAAGCGGATATTTCGGATCAAGACCAAAAACTTATACACCAGTTATTCAAAGAAGACCAAAACAAATACAGGCGCAGTTACCTGGGAGACCTAAAGGAGAAGGACCTAAACAAAATCAACAAAATGTACCACAGATAAAACAAATACCAATAAAACAATTACCAATAAAACAAAGACCAAATGTAATAAGAGAAGATCAAATAAGAGATGATTGGATAATTGGTAATCAAGCTAAACAAATTATAAATCAACCAAAAATACCAATACCTCGTCAAATACCAATACCTGTAATAGAACCACAAGTAGATCGAGGAGCATTGGAAATAAATGTACAAGAAGAAATATGTTCTATATGTTTAACAGCATTTGATATTAAAAATTTAGACGGTGTAGTGATACCATGTTAAAATAATCACATATTTCATTTTTGTTGTATTGATCGATGGAGTCGACGTGCAATCACTTGTTCTATATGTCGTGTACCATTGCAGCCTGATGAATTATGGAGAAATGTAGTACCAGAAAATATATTGAGACCGGACGTGATAGCTTTACAAAGATATAGAGAAATTCAAGTAAATAATAATCGAATAGCACAACAAATAGTTATTGAAGAAGAAGAATTCGATCAACAAGATGTTTTAGATTGTCCTATTTGTCACATATCATTACATCAAGGTGGAGATGTTATACAATTATGTAATAATCAACATATGCCTCATTATATATATGAAGATTGTGCAACTAGATGGTATAGAATGCCAAATGTTGTACAAACTTGTATAGTGTGTTTTGAACCTCTTTTACGTCGTCGAGTAGGAAGAGATCATATATTACAAATAATAAGACGAAATCGAGATCAGAGATTGAATTTGGAATGAGCTAGGAGATGAATAGAAGAAAGACAAAGAGATATGAATATTCCACAAATAAGGGAGGATGTGGAGTTGATTGATAATGTATAACAAATAGTTATAGGAAAGCAACCACCACCACTACAAAATGAAGATGGAAATGTGGATCCTCAAGATTTTACAAGATGTTTTATTTGTAATACACCTTTAAGGGAAGCTATGAATAGTAATCCAGAAATAGTGAGGCTTTGTAATAATAATCGAAGACATATGGCTCATATGCATTGTGTGACTAGATGGTATGATAGAGATGGTATAGACACATGTTGTGTTATATGTGGTTTGAATTTAATTTTACCATATGTTCGAGTAAATAGAAATCGAGTATTACAATATGATAGAAAAAGACAAAATCGTAGATTGAATATTGAGAGACGTGGAAAAGAACGTATGGTATTAGCAGCACAGAGAAGACAAAAAAGAATAGCAGTGAAACAAAGAGATTTACATAATATTTCACAATTAGACAGGGATAAAGAAGTTGATAATCAATTAGATGCACAACAGATAAATTTAGACAATAATCAAAATATGTGGCAAGGAAGATTACGAGTTGTAGATATGTTTGAAAATATGATAAGAAGAGTTATTAATTGAGTAAATATGCAATATTCATTCTGTCAATTTTTCCAATAGATGGTTTTGGACCTCTTTTTTTATGAATATTTGATTCACATTTGTAATTATTTTTTTTACAGTATGAATATGATTTTTCATCTTCGCATCTTTTCTTAATAATTGAACATTTTTTGCAAGAAATTTTAGTATATTTCACTATTTTTTTAATTTTGTTTTTTTTTCAGCATTTGTATTTTAATAATTAAAACATATAAATAACAAGAATTTTACATTAAGATTAGAAAAAATGTTAAATAATTTACGCGATGTTTTTGGTGTTAAAAATATTTTCCGATCAAATGAATTTGATAAAATTAGTAAACAAGAATTATCAACATTAGAAAAATTAATCGGAAAAACATGTAAAGAGATTATGGTTATCGATCTGCGTGGAAGTTCTGTAAAGAAAAATTTTTGTGGATTACGTAAATTATTTAACAATACTTATTTTATCAATATGTTAAATGAATCATTATACAACATGTATTTTAAAATTCTAACTAGGGAAGAAAAAGTAAAATATTACTTGAGTTTTTTCAAAAAGAAATATTTTTTAACCAAATTAATTGGGTTAAAAGGAGTTGTACAAATGTATATATCATTTTTAGATGGGTGTCAAAGAGAAATTTTATTAGTATTTGAATATTTATTAAATGTTGATGTAACTAGATATTCGGTGATTATTAATTGTAAACACGGTAAAAATCGTACTGGTATTATCTGTATGTTAATCATATTGTTATGTGATGTTCCTGAAAAGATTATTATATTAGAGTATGTGAAATCATTTCCAAATTTAAAATGTGACAATATTAATAAGACTATTGAACGAAATTTAACACAAGATATAGAAAATTGTGGTTTGACTAAAGCATTTATTTATTCGAAATCAAAATATATATATGATTTATTAATATGTTTTAAATGTGAATATAAAAATATAAAAGAATATTTAATAATATAGGTTTTACATATAAAAAACAAGAAATGTTTAAACAAAAATATAAAAAAAATTAAAATAAAATTACAAATTTATAATTCTGAATCTTCATCCATATTATTTTCCTTTTTAATATTCACATTCTTATCTTTTTTATTATTTTTTTCAACTTTTTCAGGGTATAATATTGTATAAATAGTATTTTCATGATTACAAGTTTGTTCTTGAAAAAATTTTTTAATATGATTAAGAGTTTTTTTCAAATCTTCTTTATGATCTTCTCCAAGAGTTGATTGATCAAAACAACCAAAAGCAAGTTTGAAAAGTTTTTCTAATTTTTTAAAGTTCTGTACTGCATCATATTCTTGTGTTTCTGCTGGATTGAGTTTTAAATTATTCATTGAATTAATGATTCTGTTTAAATGTTTATCATTTTCTTTTTCCTTATTTATTGCAAAGATTTG